ACAAGATTGGCGTCTTCAAGGTGTGTGTGCGTGTGTGTGCGTGTGTGTGTGTGCGTGCGTGTGCGTGCGTGTGTGTGTGTGCGTGCGGGCGGTGTGGAGGCGTGGAAAGCGGGAGGATCACTTCTTCCCGTTCTTCGTGATGGTCATGGAGGTGGGCGAGCCCGGCTTCGGGGAGGTCGAGGACTTCGCCATGTTGCTGATAGTGTCTGCGCGCGCGCCGGGGGAAGCACCCCTCCCGTGAAGCAGGCCGTGGCGGTAACGATTGCCGGGAGAAGGGCGAATAGGAGATGGGGCTGAGGGGCGTGTGCGGCGGCGGGCTGGGCGGCGGCGAGGGTGGCAGCGGCGAAGGCGTGGGTCCGCACGCAGCGAACGCGCGGCTGTGGTTCGCGGGGGCGGCTTGCTCATATTCTTCTCTGCGCGGCGCGTCTGCGCGACAAACGCTGTGTACAGCCGTGCTTGGCGCGGGGTGTCGGAAACGAGCCGTGGCGGGGTGTGCGATGCCGCGCCGCGCCGACGGCAGGCGGGGGCGCAGGGGTGCGGGAGCGCGCGGGGGTCACGCTTGAGAGACATTAGGTGCGCACCTTTTATTTTTTGAGCCGCTGGGAACCCTGTAGCCTGTTCATGCCAATCCTCCGACTGTTGACTTATTGTACTCGAGTACGTCGTGCCCGTCTCACGACTGGCACACCTTAAGGCTGGCACATGGACACGCCTCAGCGCGGCACTGATCTCGAACTTTAACAACATTTCTTGTGTTTTCACGAACGAACGAAGCATGTGGTCAGGAAACGAATGTGTGGCCAAATGTGTAGAGCGTCCTGGCCTTCCCCTCCACTCGGATGTCCGTCCTGGTTCGCCCTTCTAGCTTCTTCGAACGTGTGTTCTCTCATGTTTGTTGGGGCCGCGTGTGCATACCCCGTTTACCTCCCTGCTGTATCCGGTATTCGATGAATCGATCGAGGACATCGCTCCATGACGGTGCATTACCTTTTCCATCGCACGTCTCTAGTGCTCTGTCCGCTTGCACTGCCTCCGGCCCCGAACTACCTAGCCTTCTGCGGTGCTCTATCTAGCCACTCTCGGAAGGACGCCGCTTGCCATCTAACGCCTTGCGCATGCATCAGCTCCCGCTCCCATGTGTTAGCCAGATCACCGACATACCAAAGAAAGAAAGAAAGAAAACACAAAACAAAGAAAACAGACAACCAAGGGAGGAGAAAGAAAACAGACAACCAAGCGATGCTTTGGAATTCTTTCTTTCGGCCGACCTCGCCGTGATGGCTCGCTCGGACTAAGTTTAGTCTAAACCTCCAAAATCTTGCCTCCAAGGGAAGCCGCCCTGGCTGCCGCCCCGCCCCCGTTCACGGCCACTCAATAAAGGGAATGCCTCTCACCCACTTCCAGCTCGACACGGTCCTCGTCGTCTGCTCGACGATCGCCGTCTGTGCACTCGAGGTGCGCCGCCGGCATCCACCGCAGTGTCGCCCCTCAGTCCCACAGCCACCGCAGTGGCTGCTGGCCAGCCCTCTTCGTGCGCCACCGGGGCGCATTGTGCGGCTGCTACCTTCCCGCTCCTTCGCTGCCTGCCGCCTCCCCGCCCGAGCCCGGCCGCTCCCCCGCCCCAGGACCCGGTCGCGCTCGTCAAGGAGGGCCTTGCGCGGCTCGCCGAGTTTCCAAACCACTACGAGACGCAGTACGACTTTGTTGAGCACCCGCTCAACGGGACGCTCGCGGTCTCCCTGTTCCTCCTCTCCACC